GGGAGGGAGGGAGGGAGGGAGGGAGAGGAGGGAGGGGAGAGAAGAGGGAGGGAGGGGAGAGAGGGAGAGGAGAGGAGAGAGAGGGAAGAATATCAGATCCCTCCTTAACAGATCTCACCTCAAGATATTCTTCATTCCTTCTCGGCTTGCTTCCCCTTGTTGTTTTCTTGCCTGTTCTCTCGCTCACCATGAAGCTGCTTCTGTGCCTCGTTGGCGCCCTCCTGTTGGCCGGTGCTGTCGGCGCCCCAACACCCCTGCTGAGCAAGGTGGCTCAGGAGTCCACGGCGGTCACTGATCCGTTGACGGTAAGGATGCATGGCCACCTGTGCTGCTCTTTGTCACTATGGATGTCATGCGTCTGTCCTCCTGTCGTTCCCTTGGGTGTCACGTGGGTGCAGGATGACATGGCCATCCCCGACAACAATCTCGACACAGATGGAATGCTGCAAGCTGAAGATGAAGATGAAGATGAGGTGGGCAGGAGCCCTGACACAGACCCACACACACACATATGCAGCTCACGCAGACGCACACACACACATGGAGCGCGCACAGACCAGCCACGTGCCTGTCGGCGGGTGTTTGTGTGTATGAATCCAGGTGGGTGATGATGATGACCACGACGACGATGACGAAGAGGATTCTGACGAGCACCCCTTGCGAATGCTGCGGGGAGGGGGAGGGCGAAGGCGCTGCCGCAGAATGAAGAACAGGTGCTGGGACCATCCTTGGACCGACCGTTGCAGACGCTGGCGCCGTCGCTGCGCTCGCCGTCCCATGGCCCCCCCCTGCCGATGTATCTATCGACCGCGCTGGTGAACGGACTCCTGCTGACAGGTGGGTGTGCTGGGCTAGGCAGGGCGAGGATGAGTGACGTGCATGTGGGAACGCGTGTGCGTGTGTGTGTGTGACTGTTTTTCCGTCTGGTGCGGCAGCTGGTGCGTTGACTGACGTGCCGAGCGGCGACTGAGGAGATAAACGAGCCACACGACCAACGAGATCCCTCATACTGAAATGCTGTGCGCTGTGCGTTCTTTCTTTTGTTCAAGTAGCTTCATGCTGGGCTGTTTCTCTGCCTCTCAGCCAGTCAGTCGGTCGGTCTGTCTGTCCTGGTCTGGTCTGGTCGAATAGAATGTCCCACCCCGTCCTGGTGACGGATGTACATAGGCCACATAGTGTTTGTTTCATATCCCTTTTTAATGTGTCGTCATCTTCATGTGTCGTCAGTCATGTCATCTTCATCTTCGTGTGTGTGGGAGCCAGGGGGTGTGTGGGGGGTGCTGCACTCAGCACCCGCTCGTGTGCGTCAGTCAGTCAGTCATTTATTTAGATGTTCGAGTGGTTCGTTCACCGAGCTCTCAGCTGATCTGATATATGTGATTGGCTGACTGGATGTGTGTATACTTGCATGTCTTTGATGTGGGAGGGCGGGAGGGGCAGCTACAGACAGGGGTAAACATGGGATGGGACGGGTAAACAGAGACATCGCGAGAACACTCAAGCATCGAAGTGAAGAATCCATCGAACCATGTATCGATCCCTCTAGCATTTCAAGGTCGCCCAACGAATGTCAAACAGCCGATTTCCGCCTGTCTCTACGCCTCTCACGCACTTTCGACAAGCACCGTCTGTGTGCACATCTTGCATGTGTGTTCATTTGGAATCCCCTATCTCTATAGGTGAGCCGTGGGGTTTCATGCGGCCGCGGCCAAGATCGAACTTCGCCTCAAAAAACGAGCGGTAACGGGATCCTATCGTTCGCTTGCGATGCAGATCTACAAAGGTGTTCTGACTGTTATTGCCCTGCTGCTGTTGTGTGCTCTCGTGGGAGGCCGGGCGCAGTGTACGAACCGACACGTCCGCAGCAAGGGCAGGAAAATGTTCTGGAGCGACGAGGACGAGGACCTACTGGAGGACCGCTCCGGTACAACCGAGAGGGACGAGGACGCGTGCTGCGAACGGTGTGAGAGGACCAGCGGGTGCGTGGCGTATTCTTATATGCTGAGGAGTGGCAAGTGCTACGTGAGGCGGGACATCACTCACATTAATAAGTGGGACTTCGTCGTGTCGGGCATCATGAAGTGCAGCTGATCGATACAAGCGGCGCTGGGGCACAATCCTCTCGCGCGTGCACGTATTTTTCGGAGGACCGGCCGTGATTGTCATGGTCGGTAGGCAGGGTGGTGGGTGATCTGTGGTGTACAGTACACATACGAATGGGAGTGAGTGCAACTGACCAAGCCGCAGGCAGGGCTGTCTATACCCCTGCCATACAAAGGACAAACAGACCAGTGTCACATGTGTACATGTAATCAACATACATACGCACGGACGTGGACGTGCACACATCGACCTCACGGCCGTCTCATCCAACCACGCAGGTTTCCCCTTACTCACTATCCAGCCAACCAGCAACGAGCAACCAACCAACCGCTCCATCCGGCTCTCTCCCTGACGCAGCAACAAGTCAGACGCCCTGTTGGATCATCTGGAGAGAGAGAGATTGGGGGGGAAGGGGGTGAGTGGCAGGGTGGGGGCGTCATTCGTTCACTTCTTCTTCTGCAGCTCTGCGATCCTGGTGTGCATTTTGTCGATGTTCTCGGTGAAGGTCTTGAGCGAATCCTAGCAACACACACACACACACACGAGGGGGGGGATGTCTCCCGTGTGTGTCTAGTCGCTCTCTCTCCCGCTCTCCCTCTGTCCCTCCCTCTCTCTCTCTCTCTCTGTGCGTGCGTGTGTGTGTGTGTGTGTGTGTGTACCTGGAGGGATTTGCTGACAGTGGTGAGTGCGGCCGACGTGGCGTCCAGCTGCTTCTGCAGCTCAGTCTGGTTCGACTCCAACACTACACACACAACCACACACACACATGCACACACACACATGCACACAGGTCGGCTGTTCGTACGCATGTGCGGCGACCGACCCGACTCACCTGAAATGCGTGTGGCGAATGATCCCGAGTGTTGGTGCAGGGCCTTGAGCGACTTCAGCCGGACTACGATATACGGCAGACCAGCACTACACACACACACACACACGCACCCCCGCAATCAACACGTACAGAGGGCGCGCGCGCAATCACACAGACAGGATGCATTGGCTCACGTGGCAATCTTCCACCGCTGGCTCATGAGGAACAGCTCCTGCACCTGCACACACACACCGAGACAGGCACCAACACGCCGACATACATATCATATCAGATGCAGGCAGGTGTGCCGCCATGGCAGCAAGTACCTTTTGGTCGTCGTCCGTCAGCGCGGCGCTGGTGATCTCGGCCTTCTTCCGCAACACCATCTCAAGCTCACTCATCAGCGCCTGCACACACACGACGCATACATGAAAGCAATGTGTGTGTGTGTGTGTGGCGTCCGCCTCTGCGTACCTGTGTGCGTCTGCCGATGGCGTCGAGTTTGTTGGCGTCGAGCAGACTCAGCCGCTCATTCAGGTCGTAGATGCCGCTCTGATACACACACACGCACACACGCACACACGCCCGCGCGCACACACTTCACACGAACAGGCTGGTGGGTATGGGATGGATCTATGCGTACCTACCTGTACGTCTGGGAAGGGCAGTTGCGACTGTGCCTCCACCCCGATCTGCTTCTCCAACTCGGACAAACGACTCTCCAACCTGATCGTGAGTGTCACACAGATGGATGCACATGCACCACCACCCCACACACAGATGGACGCATGGCCGGCCATCCGTGCATCTGCGAGATACTCCCTCTTATTCGACCCACCCGATCAGTTTGCTTGTTTCAACCAGCGGCCGCTCGTTGGGGTCGTAGTACACCTCATACACCATCCGGCTCTCACCTACACACACAGACACACAGCCGTGACGTGCATGAGAGCACCCGTGTGTGTGTCAGTGCATTGTCCCTCACCGTCCTTCTTCTTCTCTTTGTCTTTGTCGGCTGTGGCGGCAGAAGTGGTCTTGAGTGCGCTGAGCTGCTGCATGACGCTGTTGAACAGGTCGGCCTCACCCTACACACACACACACACACATACACACACGTATGTGAAGTGGTTGTGGTTGTGGTTGTGCGTGTGTTGCCTCACGGCAGGCAGTTTGTAGCTGGGGTCACTGCTGCCGATCAGCTCAGCCTTCACCTGGTCACGCACGCGCATACACAGATACACACATACACGGACCGGCTCAAGCACATATTGTCGCGTTTTTCGGTTTGTGTGTGTTCTCTTTTTTTCGTCTCGGCTGACTGACTTTTTCGTCGTTGAGCAGGGTCGACAGCTGCCCCTCCAGAGTCTTCAACTCCTCCTGAGCCAATACACAGTCAAACAGAGTGCATACACCGATTGTGTGGTGGGGCGATCTATGTACCTTGATGGCGGCAGGGTCCCCCGCTCCCTCGAAGAGCGCCCTCAGCTCGTTGCCGCGGCCGAGGTTGATCTCGTTCGTGACGTACTCGAGCAACTCGGACACCTGCACACACACAAGGGGGATGAACGTGGGAAAGGCATGGAGCTGCATGTGGGTGGGGGTCGGGCATACCTCAGCCTGCAGTCTCTGTGTCCTCTGCAGCGGCGTTTCGAAGTCCTTGAGCGCACCACCCAGCCCGCCCACACTCTCATACTCACTCCTACAACACATACACACACACGTGCATTCATGTGGCTATATCTGGTGTGTGGGTGTACGCACACCTTGGCTGCTGTCTCAGGAATGTGCCCATGGCTCCCGCCTGGGGAATGGTGACCTCATACTTCTTGCCCTTAAACGTCTCGTACGCCTTTTCGGGCTTCAACGACGCTGAATGGTGCATGAATGACGCGCCCATAATGGACAATCGCGCGCGGTTTCGGTTGGCGTACCGACGTCGAGTTCCTCCTTGTCCCTGTCCTTCTCGCGAGCTCCCGCGCCACGCAGAGTGTAGCCCAGCCCTGACGACGGCACATTCGGCACGCCTGCATGCAGACACACAGACACAGAGAGGGATGCATGCCCACTCGGACACACAACGAATGCATGGCTCGACTGACTGAGTGACTGACCGGTTGTGCCAGGGGCTGGCTTTGGTTCCGGGATGTACTCGTACACATCCTTGACGGCGGCGGCTGCGGGAGGGGCGGGAGGGGCCGACATGCTCTGGGCCACAACACACAGCACACACGCAGGACGAGATCAGGCGGAATCCAGCACAACAGGGAATGATCAACCGCTAATTTGGTTTCATGTGCCAGTGCTCTTCCTCCCTGCCTATCCTCCCAATCCCATTCCCTTCCCTCTCTGTCATACCGACCTTCAATCAGTCGGGCTCTCTCAACGGAGGAAAGAGGGAACAAAGAGGACTTCCCAGCTTCTCTCACGACGCACCTTACACTGACGCGAAGCACCGGTAAAACGCAAAGGAAGGGGAAGCGGGACGCGAGCTTCTCCGCGAAACCTTCGCGCACTTGACGGTGTCCCCGTGATTGGAGAAAACAAATCGTTAACACCTCATCCTCTCACCTATTGTGATGCTGGCAACTTCGTCTCGCGTCGCCCTCTCGCTCGGCGGGCAGATGGGCACTCACATGTCGGCAGCGGCCCTCGTGCGTCTTCAGAGCATGGCTGCGTCGTCCCTGGTGCGTCAGACGGGCTCCCAGGCTGTGCGGGCGAGCCCTCTGGTGGTGGGTAGGGTGAGGACGGCCAGCACTGGTGTGCTGGGCGGGGAGCACAGCGGGAGGGGCGAGATGCTCAAGGACAGCGAGGGACACGAGCACCAGCTCCACCGCAGCTCACCTGGTACCTCAGGCAGGCACACACCAAGGGCGACACGGAGAGAGGGGGGAGGGAGGTCTCGAGAGAAGCAAGTCAGAAGGTTGGCTGTACGTGTGTGTGTCTGTCTGTTGTGTGTCTTGTGTCGTTGGCAGCTGCTGAGCGTGCTGCAGAGCGCATCGCAGAGGGTGCGGCGGACACGCCGCACTTCAGGAAGGACGCTCTGGTAAGCACATAGCTCTCACCACAGAACGCACACGTGGAGAGCGACCTGTGGATGTGCATCTGTGTTTCTTGGCGTCCCCCTGCAGGCGCATCCGTTGACCGGTGAGGTGGTTGAGGAGCAGAGACAGCAGAAGGCGTCCTACTCGCTGCCACACCCCATCTGGGACGAAAACTCCGCAAACACTGTCTCGTGAGCTCAACACACACCTGGCTACGCACGTAAGGCCGCGTGTTGATTGTGCGGTTTGTGTGCTGTGTTGTGTTGCGTTGTCAGGATAACCCATTACAAGCCACTGAACATTACCGACCGGATGGCCTTTGCGTCCGTGTCGGCACTCAGATTCGTCTTCGACACCGCATCGGGTGAGAGAGAGAGTGACCCACACACCAACCAGAATACCCTCGACCTGCATTCGTTTGATGTGCGTGTTTGCAGGTTACAAGTTTGGTTTGGTTGACGAGAAGGGATGGCTCAACCGGGTCGTCTTCCTCGAGACCGTCGCAGGCGTTCCTGGTGAGTCCTCGACACGCACACACGCACACACAGAGCATGGAACACTCATCTGCGTCGTTGGTGTGTGTATGTGCCAGGCATGGTGGGTGCGATGGTGCGTCACCTCAACTCCCTCCGCCGCATGGAGAGGGACTACGGATGGATCCACACACTGCTCGAAGGTTTGTGAGACAACCACACAGCCACTCTCTCACACCATCCACCACTGTGTACGGTATCTGTCTGCTTCTTCAGAGGCCGAGAACGAGCGGATGCATCTGATGACGGCGTTGGTGCTGCGCAAGCCCGGCCCCATCTTCCGGTCCACCGTGCTCTTCGCACAGGGCGTCTTCCTCGCATTCTTCACATGCTCATACCTCCTCTCACCCAGATTCGCACACAGGTACGGAGGGATGCCTCAGAGAGATGGAGACTAGACTCAGACACCTTCTCACTCATCTCATCTACCCATACCCCCCCACGCACGTGTGTGTGTGGCGTTGGTGTGTCAGGTTTGTGGGATATCTTGAGGAGGAGGCCGTCAAGACGTACACGCACCTGATAGAAGAGATGGACAAGGGGAAGCTGCCCCTCTTCACACACATGCCCGCACCACCCGTGGCGCGCGCGTACTGGCAGCTGGGCAAGAAGGCCATGCTCCGCGACGTCTGGCTCGCCATCAGAGGTAAAACCGCACACAGGCAGACAGGCGGGGACGCGCAGACAGACAGACAGACAGATTGGATGGATGGCTGTTTTGGGGGGTGTTTTGGGTGCCGTTGCAGCTGACGAGTCCCACCACCGTGAGGTCAACCACACGTTTGCGGGCATGCAGAGGAACGACCCCAACCCCTTCCCGCCCGGACACTAACTAGCTAACCGACTACACTCGCTCATACACGGCTGCCTGCATGGGAGAGTTTTCTTTATTCCATACCGTACACACCGTTGTCGTATGTAATGCATTTTCTTTGTCTCTATCGTGTCACGACGTGCGTGTGAGCGGTGCGTGCATTTTGTTGCATGTGTGTAGTGCAGTGAGAGACAGAGAGGGGGAGAAGGGCCCCGCTCACAAAGTGACCGACCTGCGTACGTGAGAGAGTGAGTGTGAGAGAGGTTCTTCGTGTGTCCGTGTGTGTGTGATGTGTTTTCACCACCATCATGACGGCCATTTTCATTCACCATCGGTCGGTCGTCAAGCGGCCGATCAGACAGGCACACAAACGGCCTTTATGCAGTTGCGGGGAATGGGCAGGAAGGGAGACACACGCACGAACGTTCAGACAGGAATTCGGCTTCCCTCCTCTCTCTGATTTCGTTCACTTGTGCCATGAGTAGCTGCTGGATGGATGGATGTCACGGATGCGTGCTACATGAGTTTTTGACGATTGGGATGCAATTCATGTGTGTCTTGTGTGTT